CGGCCCAGCCCTGTTTTCGTTTTTAGCTTGAGACAGGCTCTCCCTGAGCTACTCAGCAAGAGCCTGTGCCCGCAGATAAACAAGGAGGTGGGCTGGGGGTGCGGCTCAGTGCAAAGCCCTGGGTCCCGCCCCCAGAGCGGCACGCCCGCGCACGCACACTCACACATGGACACACGCATGCACACACACACTCACACGCACACATGCACACGCGCGCACTCACACACATGCACACACGCACACCCACACGCACGCACACTCACACATGCACACACGCACACACACGCACACATGCACACACACACTCACACGCACACACACTCCAAGCGGAAGGGCGCCGCGGCCTTCTCCGCAGGGACTCTGTGCCCCCTCCTTGCCCTGCGCTCCACAGCCGCGGCGCCCTGGGCTCTCGCACGAGCCCTCTTCCTGCTCTGCCAGTCTTCAGCCAGGAGCCAGGCGAGGGCCACCAGGACCAGGAGCGCCAGGCCGAGCCGCACGACGTTCTGGGCCGGGAGGTCCCCGGGGGCCGGGTCTGGGCAGAACAGTGGCCGGCTGAGCGGGGCCACCCCCTGCCGCCCGCCCTCCTCTCCTCCCGTCCTGCTCTGCCGGCCCCCTGGGCAGCCGCTGCCACCACCGACCTTTCCGGGCGCCCGATTCTGTGGCCACAGGGCAGGGCTCCCTGGCATCCGCCGCTGCTGAGGATGGGAGGATGAGTGGGGGCGCTGGCGAGGGCTTCTCCCTCCCGAGCCCCTCCAGCGTCTCCCCCACCCCGTTTCCGCCCTCCCGGGCTGCCTGGCCTCCTCCTGCCCCGGCGGCGGCCGTGCCCTCCCTCCTGGGAGCCCCCTCTGTCCCCCAGACCCGGGACTTCCTCCTGCTCTCAGGTGTCCCTGGCTCCGACGCCCCCCTCTCGGTGGCCACCCTGGACAGCGACCTGCCTCGAAGCGGCCTCAGCCAGACTTTTGAGTCCCCGCAGCCTCACTCCCTCCTTATTTAGGGCACCCTGACTCGGTCCGGCTCCCCCCGCCGGGAGGTGGGGCCACAAGCGCGCTGTCCATCTGGAGAGGCGCTGGGCACACCCGGCCCTCACTGGATGCTCGGGCGGAGGCTGCGTGCTCGGGGCCCTGCGAAGGGCTGATCCTCCCCAGAGCTCAGCAGCCCAGGGCCTCACCTGCGGGAGAGGTGGGGTCCGAGGAGGCGAAGCTGGTGTTCCCGTCTCCTGGAAACGGAGGG